TGGTTCAGAAAGGGTGAAAGAACCTGGAAGGGATGGTTAGGATGGGGAAGGGCGACAGGCTTGGAGTCAGAGGGAATACTGCAGGAGCTGAACTTAAGAAATACAAAACCCTAGAGGGGAGGCATGAGGTATGGAGGCTTTTCACCTGGCAAACTACTCCCTGAACTTGAGAGTGAAGACCAGGGACTTCTCAATGTAGGAGTTGGACAGGTTGGTGATCTCTCCTTGTGCCAGTGAGTCAGCAGTGTGTACCCAGAGCTCAGATGTACTGACTAAAGCCAGCACCATAGCCTCCTTGCTTCTTTTATGTCATCTCTGGACATTCCTCATGCATGCTGCAGCTCTGTGGGCCCCTGGCTGTGGACCACAATTACCTCTACCAAACACTGTCCTCCCTCACACACGTGGTGTCTCTGCAGTCAGACAGGGGAGACAGAGAACCATTTTTTGAGGTTACAACATTTACTGGTAAAAATGAAGTGTAAAGGGAAGCATTTTGGACCCTCTCATCACACACCTGGGGAGCCACACAGAGACACTGAGGGAGGTATGGTGAGTTCCCTGTCTGGGCCCTTATAAGGGATGTGTGAATGAGGCAATTTATGTTGCCATAAAATGGCAGATGAGCTGCTAACCACCCAAGGCCAAGAGGAGAGGGGGGCCTGGTGCCTTGGTTATACTACAGGATGAAAGGGAGGGGAGAAAAGGGGAGGGGAAGGGTCCTTGGTCCAACCAGTGCTGAAAGACACAAACCTCTCAAGAAATTAGTGACTTGGGGCCCAGCACCTTCCCCAAACACATCTCCATCCCTGACCCCACCTGAACTCCTTCTGGGATTCTCAGCCACAGGAGACTGAAAGAGGGCTGTGACTCCAAGGATGGCCTGTAGAAGCTACAGGTTTCCCCCACTCCTCCTTCATCAGCAGAAGTGGGAAAAGGGTTAGCCATGGGACCTGTTGCAGTCCTGCTGCAGCAGTGGCCACTACATTGGTAGTGCAGGAGCTGGGGTCCACTCTATGCAGCTGGGAAGAGGCAGGAAGGTGTCAGAGGAGTGAGAATGGAACACCTATGGCAGCAGTGAGGGGAATGGTGTCCCAAGGTGCATGTGCTCTCCCACGGTCCCCAGAGTTGAGGACTAGGATGTGGGGGCTCCTGCAAGACAGAGGTCATGGGCCCGAACTCTAGGTATTGGCTTTCAATTTCTGTGCTGTTAGAGCTTTCCCCCTCACTCATATGTGCTGTGCTCCCTGCTCTTGGCCACACCCAAGAAGAAATCCAGGGAACTCAGTTCCAGCTGCAGGTATACCTTGGCTCCCATATCCTGTGATGATGTGGCAACCAGTACTAGTGGGATGGACTCCTCATGGGCTAGGTCCATCAGCTGTGCTCTTGCCCTGTGGCCCCTGGGGACCTGCTCCTGGATACCCAGGCTTCTCTGTGCCTCCTCCTCTAGCGGGGTCCCTGCTGACAACTCCAGCCCCTTGGTTGTGCCATAAGTGTGCAGGGTCATGCTGGCCCTGTGTTTGGCTAGGAAGTGGGACAGCTCCCTGTAGAAGGTCTGCCTCCAGGCCCCTAACCTGGAGGGGAGAATGTGGTGAAGGGGATATTACTGAAGGAGTCTATTACAGACCTTTTAACCAGGAGGAAGAGCTTGGCCATGAATTCTCTAGGGAACTAAAAGAGGCTGCATGCTCTCAGTGCATGGTTCTCATGGGTGATTCAATCACCCTAACATCTCATGGGAGGAGCATTCAGCCAAATCTGATTGGTTGCATAGCTTCCTCACCTGCATTGATGAGCTATATCTGACTCAAGAAGTCCATGGGCCAACACAAGGTGAGGCAATGCTAAATCTGTTTCTGGTCAAAGCGGATGATCTAGTGAGTGACCTGAGGATTGAAGGGAAGCTTGGTGACAGTGATCACAAGTTAATCACCTTCCTTATCCATCACAAAGCTGGCACATCAATCAGCAATGTAGAAATCTTTGACTTTAGGAAATCTGACCTTCTCAAGCTCAGGGGGTTGGTTGTCAAGACACTGAAAGATCATGATCTGACAGGGAACCAACTTCCAAGGAAAGTAGTGCTGGCTCCTACCTTGGGGGTCTTTAAGAGGACGCTTGATGATTACCTAGCTGGGGTCATTTAAGCCCAGTTTTCTCTCCTGCCCAGGGTAGGGGGTCGGACTAGAAGATTTTCAAGGTCCCTTCCAACCCTATATCTATGAATCTATGAAGTCAAAAGAAAAATAAGGGCAAAATTGGACCCCTGCTAAATCAAATGAGGTAGCTGACAACCGACACTCAGGAAAAAGCTAATCTCCTCGGTGATTACTTTGCATCAGTTTTCCACCATCCCAAGGGGAGCACCCTGCCTGACAGGACACAGGACTATGAGGGTACGGATGACCATATGCCTACATTTGGTGAACAACCTTGTGAGGGAACACCTTGAGAAGCTGGACATGCATAGTTCCTGTTATAGCAGACCCTGATGGAATGCACCCAAGAGTGCTAAAAGAGTTGTCTGACATCATAGCTCAACCATTGGCACAGACTACAAGGAACAGAGTCACACTGCAGATACTCCTAAATGGAGAAAGCTGACATGGATATTTGAGAACTTGTGGCACTCAGGAGAGGTTCCTGAAGACTGTAAGAGGGCCAACGTGGTACCTATCTTCAAGAAAAGAAGGAAGAAAGATTCAGGGAACTACAGGCCAATCAGTTTGACCTCAATCCCTGGGAAGATCTTGGAAAAAATTATCAAAGAAGCCATCAAGAATAGGCTGACAGAAGGCACCATTTTGAGAGACAGCCAACATGGCTTCATTGCAGGTAGGTTGTACCTGACCAACCTCATCTCCTTCTATGACCAGGTGACACATCACCTGGAAGCGGGGCAGAGGTTGATATCATTTACTTGGACTTCACAAAACTCTTTGACTTGGTCTCCCGTGATGTCCTCATGGCATAACCGGGGAACTGCAGCCTCAACAACCGTACAGTCTAATGGCTGGGGAACTGGCTCCACGGTCAGACCCAGAGAGTGATAATCGAAGGAACCAAGTCAACATAGCATATGGTGACCAGTGGCATCCCTCAGGGTTCAATACTCAGATCAGTACTCTTTAATATATTCATTAACGATCTGGATTCGGGTGTCAGAAACAAACTGGCTAAGTTTGCAGATAACACAAAACTATGGGGAAGTGTGGTTACACTGGAGGATAGGCTGGGGATTCAGGCTAACCTGGATAGGCTCAGAAGGCAGGCAGAAATAAACCTGATGACCTGCAACATAGATAAATGCAAGGTGCTCCACCTTAGGAGAAAAAAACAACATCATACCTATGGGCTTGGCAGTGCTTTACTCATTAGCACTATGTCCAAAAGAGACTTGGGGGTCATGATTGCCCATGAGATGAATATGAGCCACCAATGCGATGCCACAGCCAGCCAAACAAATAAAACCCTGGCTTGCATCTACCGATGCATCTGACACAAGCCCAAGATGTCATTCTCCTACTTTATTTGTCCTTGGTAAGGCCACAACTGGACTACTGCATCCAATTCTGGGCTCCACATTTTAAAAAGGATGTGGAGAAGCTCAAGAGAGTCCAGAGGAGAGCCACGTGCATGATCAGAGGTCAAGAGAGCAGGCCTTATGAGGAGAGAGTGAGAGGCACGGGACTTCTTCAGCATGGAAAAGCATAGGCTCAGGGGGGACTTGATGAAAACCTATAAGTATATTAGGGGTATACATCAGGATCTGGAAGAACATCTGTTCACCAGGGCTTCCCTAGGGAAAACAAGGTCTGACTGTCACAAATTACCAGAAGACCATTCTAAACTGGCCATAATGAAAAACGTTTTTACCTTTTGAGTCTTCAGAGTCTGGAATAGACTCCCCCCAGAAGTGGTGCAAGCACCTACTCTGGACAGGTTCAATTTGTGTTTGGATGATTATCTTGCTGGGGTCATCTGATGCCAGCTGACTTCCTGTCCTTTGGACAGAGAGCTGGACCAGATGATCTCATTAGGTCCCTTCCAGCAGTAATATGTATGAAATCTATTAAACCTTTAGTTGGCATCATGCACACAGTTATACTGCATCTTCATCCGCTTGGCCTTGGCACGGCACTACAAGCAATCCCTGTTATAGCCTTACTCATGCATCTACTGGGCAATGCACTTGAAGACACAGATGCCTCCCTCCCCCACCCTTGCACTGCCTCCCTGTGGCTGATAGCTGGCTGTAGACAGGACAGAGGGGTTGGGGGGGAGGGTCTGTGCTGACTTGGCTCTATGACAGCATGAGGGTGGGGCCAGCTAGGCACTCAGTTACAGCACCCAAGCATGAACTGAGTTCCACCAAGTGTCCCTGTGAGAGGGAGGTTAGTGGGGTCCGTAAAGCAGCCTGAGATGCCGGCAGACTGCAACCTAAATTGAGTTGCTAAGGGATCTGGTACAGAATTTCAATAGACTGGTCTAACCATGCAAGTCTGATATCACATTGATCCAGATCTATTTTAGAATGGACTGCACCATTTTTAAACCAGTCTGTGTGCTGAACGTCTGTTCAGTTACGGGTGTAGACCAGTTTCTGATCACTTATACCAGAATAAGTGTAACATCTGTGCCTTGCTTCAATCTAACTATTTGTAGCGAATGTAGCTGATTGTGATTATAATTGCATAATGAAGACTACAAGGAACAGTGTCACACTGCAGACACTCCTAAATGGAGAAAGCAACATTGACACAGAGACTTTATAGAAAGATGTCTGCATCTTATCAAGAATAAAGGCAAGGCCTTATAAAACCTCAGGACTACAGTGCAATGTTGTTACTGCATTAGTTTGCTGCACCTGCTTATCAGACTTCTGCTGCTCTGATCTCTGCTGAGATATTCAAATTACAGCTTTGGTAAGAACTGTTGGACACATGAAAATATAACAAAGAAGACTGTCAGATGTCTTTTGAAGCAGGTCATGGGGATGCAGCTGTCCTCCTTAAGGTGGTAGGGGAAAGGGACTGAAGCATGAGAAATTAGTTCAAGCTAAAAACCAGCAACCAGTTAAAAAGCTGACATTGATGTTCAGTCACCATAGGGGCTCTCAAGCTGCTCCAGGCTCTTCTCTTGCTGTGGTTCATTGATGGTAAGCCTTGACAAAAGAAAGAAAATAGCATTAATGCTTCCACCTCCTGCCTTGATAGGAATTGCTCGTATCGAAGGAAAAACAGTAAGGAGCTTTCAGAAACCTCTGTTCACCAAACCTTGTAAAAAGTTCCACAGGCTCAGAGATTAAATCTGAGCCAGTATCTCCCATCCATGCCAAAAATAAAATGTACCAACTGATTTCAGAAAGGGTTGGCTTCCCACCAAGCAAGACATAAAGATTCCCTTGCTTCCAGGCTGGATGTTCTTTCATTTAACATCTTAATTCTAACAAATCTTACCTTTTATTGATCCTCCATGTTTTTTACAGTTCAATTAAGTCACTGTTCATAGCTATATTTCCAGATGTAATGCAGCCTTTAATCACAGGATGCTACAACAGTCATCAATAGCACATGGAATTTTTTTTTATACTACTTGTCTTAGGTAAGATAAATGGAAAATCTCTAGTTTCCAACCTCTTGTTCAAAACCCTTTCGCTGATAGGAGGACTACATTAAACCATATTAAATTTTCTCTGACAATAATTGCAAACTTATTCTGATTCACGTTTAAGCAGCTATTAAAATATGTGCTGGCAATGTTAAAAATAGAGGAAAAGGAGGATTTACAAAGAATGCACTGAGGCAAGGAAGAGGAAATAAATTCTTTCATTGTTCTTGTATGCTGAGCTGTTGTGATGGTTTCAAATCATTTCCAACCAACTTGATGGTTGGAAATCATCTTTGTATCAGCAGTGAAGGATGTTTGAAAAACAAAAATAAAAAAAACAATCCTTCTAATCACGCAGAGTCAGATGAAAACCAAGGAAGGTATTTTTTGATACCTTCCAGATGATCCCACTCTGCTAGTGCAAAATTGTAGATTAAGCAGATTATAATTTACTATTAGTCACCCTCATCCCACCCCGCCTTGAGAGCTCTTACCCACCACTGATGCAGCATAGGTATGTGGTTGGTAAGAAGACTGCACGTGAATTTTCAGCAAAGCCAGGTACAGTTATTATACATAAACCAGTATAAGTGACCCAAAACCAGTCAACACCATACGAGAAGAGAAGTTTGACACACAGAGACTGGTTTAAAAATGGTGGAACACTGATCAATGTGCACTCAAACTTAATTAATTCAGGTTAAACTGATGCATTGAACTTCTGTACCAGATCCCCTATCAATTAATGTTAGGTCACTGTCTGCTGGCATCCCAGGCACATTTGTGGCCCCCCACTAGCCATGCTAGCATTCACCTTGTGCTTGCCTGCTCTAGCAAAGTGCCCAGTAGGCTCCACCACTGGGGTACCCCAGAGCGGAGCCAGCAAAGCCTCTGTTCCCACCCCCACCTTCTGTCTGTGACAAGCTGCCAGCCACAGCTAGGCAGGGGGGAGGGAAGAGAGGCTTCTGCCACACAGACCCAGCCCTGGAATGGGTCAGAAATGCCTCTGTCCCCAGCCCTGCCTCCTGCCTGTGGTAAGGTGTCAGCCACAGCCAGATGGGGAGGATGGGAGACAGAGGCTTCTGCCACGTAGACCCAGCAGCCAACCAGGGGTGTCCTGGCCATTTGGCTGCACCCAGGGTGTGCTGGGAGGCATGTGGGGGCACTCCCAACCTGCTGACCTGGACCAGTGCAGGCAGCCTGTGTGCCTCTCCTCTGCCCCACAACCAAAGGATGAGCATGTGTTCTGTTCACTCCTGAACTAACCTGCTCCGCTTACAGAAACCCATGTAGGTTTGATAAATTCCACCTTCTGAATGTCTGTACCTAGCCCAAATGTGTGAGCTGCTGCTGGGTAGCAGAATAGGAAATTTGTGGTAGCCAAAGTTGACTCTCATATGCCTTGAAACCTGGGAGAGAGAAGGGGTCTTCAGCATAAACTGACGGGCATGACTTCTCAAAAGCCTTCCATCTGGTGTCCCGTGATCTCATGGAAAAATTGGCTAACTGTGGCCTCGGCTACATCACAGTCCAATGGCTGCGGAATTGGCTCCAAGGTTGGATCCAGCGAGTGGTGACAGACAGAAGTAAATCATCGTGGTGTGCTGTGACCAATGGGGTCCCGCAAGACTCCGTCCTTGGGCCTATACTCTTTAACATCTTTACTAATGATGTAGACATTGGTGTCAGAAGCGGACCGGCCAAATTCGCCGATGACACCAAATTCTGGGGTAAAGTGTCCAGAGCTGAGGATAGACATGTTATCCAGGCCGACCTCGACAGGCTCAGAATATGAACAGATAAAAACCTTATGGCGTTGAACACCAGAAAATGCAAGGTACTCCTCCTTGGGGAAAAAACCCCACAGTAGGCTTATAGGCTCGGCAGTGCTACGCTTACTAGCACCACAGCCGAAAGGGACTTGGGGGTCATGATTGCCCACAGGATGAATATGAGCCACCAATGTGATGTTGCAGCTGGTAGAGCAAGAAAAACCCAGGCTTGCATCCATAGATGCTTCTCAAGCAAATCCCAGGATGTCATCCTCCTGCTGTACTCGGCCTTGGTGAGGCCACAGCTGGAGTACTGCATCAAATTCTGGGCTCCACAATTTAAAAAGGATGTGGAAAAGTTTGAGAGATTCCAGAGGAGAGCCACATGTATGATCAAAGGACAGGAGAACAGGCCCTATGATGAGAAGCTGAGAGCCATGGGACTGTTCAGCCTGGAAAAGCGCAGGCTCAGGGGGACCTGGAGGCTGCCTATAAGTACATAAGGAATGTACATCAGGATCTGGGGAAATGCCTGTTCATCAGAGCATCCCAAGGGATGACAAGGTCCAACAGTCACAAACTTCTCCAAGACCGTTTCTGGCTGGACATAAGGAAAAACTTCTTTACTGTCCGAGCCCAGAAGGCCTGGAATAGACTGCCGCCAGAGGTGGTGCAAGCACCTACTCTGGACTCTTTTAAAAAACATTTGGATGTCTATCTTGCTGGGATCCTTTGGCCCTAACTGACTTCCTGCCCCTGGGGCAGGGGGCTGGACTCGATGATCTTCCGAGGGCCCTTCCAACTCTAATGTCTATGAAATCTATAATACATTGTGGGCCATATCCCATACTCTTAAAAATCATGGCTATATCCTTGATTCTTTGGAACTGCACTAGGTCAAGGCAGTTCCCTTCCTCCTTCCCTCTGTACTTTCTGACTCTGGAGACTCCAGCAGTGGGTGGTCTACAAGAGCAGCAACTGAAGTTTGCTGCTACTGAGGGAAGATGTTACCTCATTTTGCTAGACCCCCATGTCAAGGGGGCAAAAGCCCTCCTGTTTTGGGAAGCAAAAAATGGGGTAACTTCTTCTCCCAGCACCAGTAAATGTTGCTGCCACTCTATAGAACTACATTTCCCTGAGTGCCCTGTACTCACTGATACACATATCTGTGCTACTGCAACTTTCTCAGGGGCTGAAGCCTGGAAGAGCAGAAGGAAGTGAAGTGGCAGTCAGGAGGCTGAGCTATTCCACCCTGCTTCATTCTGGGCCCCCTCACACATACTCACACTTAGGATAAGCTCTGATGCAGAATTAAGGGCCTTTCTGAAGTGGATTGAAGAAGGAGACTATATTTCTTTGTCAACTCAACCCTTCTTACTAGAAAAAAGTATCTGTGCTTTCCTTTAAAATTGTACCAGGGTGGGGTACCTAGGGGTGGTCATGTTACCCCCCCCACGTCCTTAACCGTGCCAGTCTTTTGCCCTACAAGCACCCTCGTTCTTACCTGCCATGTCTTGTTGGTATAATAAATACAGGGAGGCTGCCCTTGAGCTTTAGTTTTGGACATGGTCTGGTTAGATCCTATTAACCCTGTTGTTTCTACCCCCCTTTGATGTCCTGCTTCACTGTTGGATGGTTCCTGAGTCTCTCAGCCTTATGGGCCATATGCGTGGCTCCAACCACCCCTTTACCAGGCCCCAAGCCTCACAGATGATACAGGTATTGTCTTGCCTAGGCCTCATATTAATTCGGCTCCTTGTCCTTGTCGGGCTCTCTGCAGCTCTGGCCCAAGTGCTGCACCCTCTCTGGCGCTGGGATCCCCACGCTGCAGTGGGTCCCTATGAGGCCTCCTCCTTCCCCAACTAGCCTCACCCAAACCACCAGTTGTTATCGGACAGCACACACTCAATCACCAACCACCATGAGTCTCTAGGCTGTAACTTAATGCAGAGCTCGCATCATGTTCTGCCCCTTTAAAAGAGTAAATCTCCCTCTCTGAGGCTCCTCTGCCTAGTAGGCAAGGATACCTTCTGGGCTCCTGGTGTCCCCTTTGTTCTAAGGGTAGTGTATCTACCGGCTACTACATCTGTGGGCCCTTCCTTCTCCTGGAGGCTCCTTCCCTTTCAGCTACTGGTAAGGGACCAACTGCCTGGTCCCAGCCCTGGGGTTTCTATGGGCCTAGGGCCCTGCCTCCTCTGGCCAGCTGACCAGGTGCAGCTGCGGCCAATTCCCTCATTAACCGGTTGTCATGGCAACCTGCACCTGGGTTCTTATCTCTGCTCTAAGAGGAGCAAGCACCTTAGTGCCCTGCTACAAAAATCTATATTTAACCTATTTGCTGCAATAGACCACATGACACCATCACACCTTAATAAAAATATCTTTACTAAATTGTCTTTGTCAGGTATTCTCCAATTGGACCAGACAGTGAAAAATTAATAAAACTTTCAACAAAATGTAGTTTTTATTTTTTATTCCTTTATTTTCTAGAAGACTTTGGAATTAAAGGTCAAAATTCATGTCCCATCCCTTCCACCATGTATGGAAATCTTTTGACGGCATCTCCACCCTAGGTTACTTCAAGCTGCAAATTGGGCCACAATGCAACTAGCAACTTTCCAGTTCTCCTGGGGTTCACTGCTGCATAAGCAAATACACAATCCGACTTACAAGTAACAAAACAGCAAGATAAGGTACCTTTAAACAGCACATAAATCAATGCATTGTACACCAAACCTCCCTGGGTTGCATATTTGCATAATGTAATATTAGCTATATAATT